GGTGGGGATGGGAGAGATGGGAGAGAGAGATTGACTGGATGGCATTGCAAGGAATTAACTTGCCTCTAGCATTCACTGGCCAAGAAGCTATTTGGCAAAAGGTTTTCAAGGTAAAAAAACCAGATTCATATTCTTGTCAGATTGCAATAAGAGAATAGTAATTGTTCGCTGCGACATGATCAGCTACTGTATTCTTTGTACAAGTTTATTATATTAACCAATCAAGTTCTATATCAATCTTGTTTAGAGGTTCAATATCAGCAAAGAAGATCTGGATGATTATTTTGGTGGACCAGCGTTCCTTGCTTGGGCTCGCATGGGAAATCTTCACGCGTAAATAACCTCATCTCTGATGTTTTCAGGCTTCTATCACCAGGGCTCCTTCTGAGCTAGATTTATCTTTTATTCGTAGAACTCACATAATCCATATCTCTTGTATTTCCCTATCACTCACCACACCATATACATCACAGGTGGGGTGGTCCATTATCGGAAAACTGGTTAGGTGATCAGTTGCTTTTGCAGAAACGGATACTTTCTCAAATGCTGGAGCTTGGCATGACTCCAGGTCCAAGGAACAATCACTTTCCTCTGTTCTCAGATGCTCGATAGATTGCTCTCAAAGCATCTTATAGTTTCTTTTGTTTCTTTGTTTCCTAGTACTTCCATCATTCTCTGGCAATGTTCCATCAGCTTTGAGAAAGATATATCCTGAGGCAAATATAACCCGACTTGATAACTGGTACGTTTTCCTTCCGTGAATCATGCCCCGTAATTTTTTTATCTAATGGATCAAACATTTTGAGATGAGTGATGAGAATAGAAATGTGCTAGTTTTGTTTACTGTTTCGTCTTCTCAGGAACACGGTGGATGGGGATTCTCGCTGGTGCTGCACTTACCTTTTGAATCCTTCTGATCCTCTCTTCATTGACATTGGAGAGGCTTTTATTAAACAACAAATTGAAGGTACACAGAAGCTATTTCTGTTTCCATGATTCTGCGTAAAATAAGTAGTCCATTGAAGGTTTTGTCAAACCAGCAGACATATACTAATCAAATATTCCACCTGATCAGTGTTCTTGATATAATTATGTATACAGTATATATGCCTTTAATCTTACCTTGTTAATGTCTCAGAATATGGCGAGATTACAAACATCTATAACTGGTAATCCTCTTCAATTTGCACCTATTATTTGCAACATTTTCTAGATTTTTTGGACCCAGGTAAGTATTGGTGAAAACATCACCTTCTGCAAAAATCTATGATTCAACAAAAAACCAACTTTCTATGTATGGAAATAGTTTTAATTGGCTTAGCTCTTGACCATTTCTGTTAATGCAGTGATACATTCAATGAAAATACTCCTCCCACAAGTGAGCCTGAGTATATATCTTCACTAGGAGCTGCAGTGTACAAAGCTATGTCCAAAGGAAACAAGAATGCTGTATGGTTAATGCAAGTATGCCCTCTTTTCCATTTTTATTTTCACTGGCACGCGTACATTGGGATGCTATCTAAAAACTGTATAACAACACAGTCTTTACTGTATTAATATTGGAGTTACGGTATTCTAGAATTCTCCATTTCATACCATGATCTTCTTAATGCTTCCTTACTTGATACCCACCTTTGTGCAGGGTTGGCTTTTTAGTTCGGACTCAGGATTCTGGAAGCCGCCTCAGATGAAAGTAAACATCCAGTTAGTTTATATGATGACTGCTGATGGAGTCTACTGTACAATTTTAAAAATTGGCTTTTCTTATTCAATTTTACAGTCTCTCTTGCTTTCTGTAGGCGCTCTTGCATTCCGTTCCCTTTGGCAAAATGATAACTCTTGATCTGTTTGCCGATGTCAAACCGATATGGAACACATCCGCCCAGTTTTATGGAACTCCTTATATCTGGTATACTTTATCTTGGTTTCCCTCTTATGCCGGTGTCATAGAGTTGTATTTTTATTGAAATATGATGAATTCCAGGTGCATGCTTCACAATTTTGGAGGCAACATTGAAATGTATGGGACTCTTGATTCAATTTCTTCAGGACCAGTTGATGCTCGTGTCAGCGAAAATTCAACCATGGTATTTTCAAGACGATTACATTCACAATATTTTTTCACATCTTTAATCTCATGTATACACTTTGGTGAGGCTATCATTTCCCCTTGGCAACGGTATCTTCTTATCTTTGTTTCACATAGGTCGGTGTAGGAATGTGCATGGAAGGAATAGAGCAGAACCCAGTTGTTTACGAGCTAATTTCTGAAATGGCATTTAGAGATGAGAAAGTTGATGTACAGGTAATGCATACATAGTAAACATTCTTAATAAGACATCGGAAAGTGTTTGCACAGTCAGTTCATACATTTTTAATATGCGGTTTGATAGAAATGGCTGAAGAGCTATGCACGCAGAAGATACATGAAAGAAAATCATAAAATCGAGGCCGCTTGGGAGATTCTCTATCACACTGTCTACAACTGCACTGATGGAATTGCAGTATGTTTTTTTATCCCGGTCACTACCGCATAATCTCTCCTTGGATCTGCTCTATGTCATAAGAAACTTGCTTTCAATTCTCTATTTTAGGATCATAACACAGATTTCATAGTCAAACTTCCGGACTGGGATCCAGACGAATTAAAACAAACAGATTCATATTCGATCTCCACTCACCCATATGAAACAAAAAGAAGATTCTTGTTTCAAGATAAGAGCTCTGGTTTGCCTAAGGCGCATTTATGGTATTCTACAAAGGATGTGATAAAAGCTCTCCAACTTTTCCTGGAAGCTGGAGATGATCTGTTTGGGAGCTCAACATATAGGTAGAAAGCAAGTAGAAATAGAGTATCTATCATGTTAATGGTTAGAGATTCCCATTGGTTTTGCTTCCAGGTACGACATGGTTGATTTGACCCGTCAAGTTTTATCGAAGCTAGCAAATCAGGTGTACATCGAAGCAGTGACTGTTTATGGAAAGAAAGATATCGGAAGCTTAAGACGATTGAGCGCGAAGTTTCTTGAGCTTATAAAGGACATCGACGTTTTGCTTGCTTCCGATGATAATTTCCTTCTGGGGACATGGCTTGAGAGTGCAAAGAAGTTGGCCAGAAACAGTGATGAAAGGAAACAGGTGTAATTAACATCAATTTGTTCATGGAACGTGCGGGTAGTACAGTACTTGCTTATGACTGTGATTTTGTGTGTACAGTATGAGTGGAACGCCAGAACGCAGGTGACGATGTGGTATGACTCGAAAGATGTGAACCAAAGCAAGCTTCATGATTATGGTAAGAAATCAACTTTAAAATGATTTTTTTTTAGTATACAGATCTTTTATGAAGCTATATCTTTTTGTCATCATCATCAGCAAACAAGTTCTGGAGTGGGTTACTTGAAGACTACTACTTACCCCGGGCGAGATTGTATTTCGACGAAATGCTAAAAAGCTTACAAGATAAGAAGAAACTAGAGATAGAGAAATGGCGAAGAGAATGGATAATGAAGTCACACAAATGGCAGCAAAGTTCATCAGAGGTGTATCCGGTTAAGGCAAAAGGAGACGCCTTAGCTATTTCAAGGCATCTGTTTCGTAAGTACTTCCCATGAGTTAACATTGTTTGCTCAAGGGTTAGCTCAAAGAAGAATAAGCAAAATAAAAGAAGTTGAGATTCTAACTTCTGCCTGAGATAAAATTGGTAGGAGAAATGACATTGGAGTAGATTTGAGGGTTAGGGTTCTTGTGTGTTAGTGTTAGAGACTCGGTGAAGTCGAGTAAAGGTTGTAACAACAAACTCTGCTTCATCTCTTCCAACAAAGATTTACTTGTCTCCATACCAGCAAGGTATCCTCCATGCACATACCCACTGAATTTCTCACTTGTGTGTTCTCCTGTGAAGAATATCCGTCCAGTTGGGGCCTGAATCTCAAACCAAACCATTCTTAAAATTCCTGACATGTGTGTTCTATAAAGCATTTGCATTAACAACAAGAAAAAGTGTTTGTTTACCTTGATGTTCTGCTGAAGCTGATTATCAGAGATCATAGGGTAATTGCTGTAGCTACCGCGTTGAAACCGATTGTTCCACCATCTAGGGACAAGAATGTCCGTGGCGTAAGGAATGGTAGGACCAAACATGTCCCTGAGAACACACATTGCCTCTTCCAGTGTCTCCTCGTCTGATTGAGCTTCCACGCGCTTTGACTCTTCATTGGTCAATGTCACGACCAGAATATTAGACCCCGGGTACGCATTTTCCATGTGCTAATAATAAAATCAACGTATAAATAAGCTACAAGATTATTGATGTTGATGGTATACTATAACATTGTGTGAATCTTGACCACATGGACCGTACTGCTGGTTAGACAACACTCAAAGATAATTAAAAGCAATGATGATAATAATCAAAGGAACCCCACCAGGTGTTTAATTTTTAAGATTAGAGAGTGCATGTGCCACGTTTCGCACGTTTTGTGGAACGACCAAAAAGATGCATTGAGATTAACAAAAACGATTATCTCATGATTATTATTTAAAGGAAAATCAACCTGCCAAAAGGTGAAGTAGCCGCGTTGTTCGTGTGCATAGATGAAAAACTCCTGACCAGGACCACATGGCCAGAAACAATGAGGGAATTTGAGGAAGATCTTTGTGTACACCATCACATCACAGTTTTGTATAGCCTCTGTTTTCCACCTCTGTCACCAAGAAATAGTTTTTTTTTTTTTAATAGTAAGATCCAAAGTTTTTTTTAATAGTAGATTCCAACTTCCAGTAGATAAAACAATAAAAGGGCCGCAGAGGGTGAATTCTGAGTGTATCTACCAATCCACTGAATTTGGTGTATGGTTTTGATTATAAAAAGAAACACAATCAATTAATTACACACAGAAACCATGAATTCTGACTTTCTACACCTAATGACTAAATGCAATTTAATATGTCCCCAGGTTTCTGTACATTGAATGATTAAAAAACTCCCCCTTTTTGTGCAATAAAGGATCATCCTTGTATCTTTTTAAAATTTTAAACAAGCATAAAAGATAAGACCAATGAGTAGTAAGTAATTAGAGAAGAAGACAAAGTAAAAAAATGAGTAGTAAGTAATTAGAGAAGAAGACAAAGTAAAAAACTAACTGGTAAAGGGGGCTGGAAAGATAGAAGATTGGATTGGAGAACACCGATACTCGCGGATACGATTACATAATTGGCTTCGTATACAGAACCATCCTCTGTCTTCACCATGACCCCATTCCTCGACTGTTCTATCTCCCTAACCACCTGCCATTTAATTCACACAGCTTCATCACACTATAGCTTAACTATAGATTACTAATATATAACAGAACAGCTTTCAAAGTTTAAGCCAGCTGGTTTATGAGAGGAAATCAATAAAATATACAGACCCCACAATCTTTCACAATAATGCTTCCCAATAAACTATCAACTTAAGCCCAAGAAATCTGTACAACTCTTTAGTTTACGACATAGTATCTACAAGGGCCTGTAGCAACTAATCGATTAATATTTATGCCCCCGTTGAAAATTATTTCTGTATCCGCCACTGAGCGTAATCAATTCCACTAGAAATACACTGTAAGTTGATAACTACGCAGAAAAAAGGTAGTAAAATACACTGTAGT